TTTCTTTCCTAATCGTTACTATCGTCATTTTCCTCTACTTCTTTTGTATGTTTGTCACACTCGTGTGACCCTCTATTTCCGGGGTGCCTTGATAGTCGAAGCAGACTTTGTGCTGTAGAAGCTAGAGAGGTGAGCAGAGTAAGTCTGATTCTCTATAAGGACTTCTCTGTTGACATCCACCCCTTGGCGCTCATGTGACCTAATGCAGTTGCGGGTGCCGTAAAACCGCTACTAAAACCTCTAAGACTTCCCAAAGTTGACATCTATTTACCCTGTCGAACGCCTTTTCTTGGTCCACGAAGACGATATTGAGGTCTTGTCATGTCCAATGGCAGTCTCACACAACTGTCCGAATGCAAGAAACCCCGTCAGTACAGCCCTTGCCTTTTCTGAAGCCAAACTGGGATTCATTGAGATGAGTCTCTACAATTGGTCTCATTCTCATTTCCAGTATCTTGGCAAACGTTATATCCACACGGCTTAGAAGGGATATTCCTCTGTAGGCTCTGTGTTGCTTTTGTCGCCCAGGCCAGGTTAAATATCCTCCATAGCCAGAGTTCTCCGATATGGCCGTATAGTTTGATCTCTTCTGCTGTGATGTTTCCAACGCCTATCGCTTTGTTTGTGGGGCTATTCTTTAGAAAATGTTGGGTTTCACTCTGCAGTAGTTCTGGTTCTGGATTGGTTTCTTTCGGTGAGAAGCTGTTTGCTGTTGTTTCTGTTGTAGGATTCAGCAGCTCCGCGTTTCTATCTTTCCTTAATCTTTGGCTTTCTAAAAATAGAGTTTTCCGTGCTCATCATTGACTATTTCAGTTTGGTTGAATGGTTCTTCCCGCATCCTCATGTTTTTTTAACTCTCTAGTAAAACTCTCAAGGGTCTTCTTTACATTTTGTTACCAGCCGTTCTCCATATACTGTCCAGGATCTGTTCTTAGCTTCTTTTACTGCCCTTGATGTATAGCGGCGGTCCTTTCTGTATAGGATGTAATCTTCCTCCGTCTTTGATTTCTACCACTTTTTGAATGCCTTTTTCTTCAGTTGGACGGCTTCCTTCACTTGGTCATTCCACCATATAGTTGTTTTCTTTTTCTGCCCTCTTGTTTTCCTGGTGCCGAACTCTTCTTTTAATGCTCTGTACACACATGCTTTGAAGTGGCTCCATTCCTCTTTCATGTCTCCCAATTTTGGGCGAAATTTGTGAAATACATCTTTCAAACGTTCATGTATCTTATCCTTGTTATTGTCATTTATATATTTCTGAGATTTACGACTTCTCGTTTCTTTGCTTCTGGCCTTTTCCTGTTTGGTGTGTCAATAGTCATGACGACTGGTCTGTAGTCAGTGTCTGTGATGTAGATGGGAATCACTCTTGAGTCTCTGATTTTTCTCAGTTTCGATCTTTTGGCTAGGATAAAATAAATTTGTAATGCTATCTTTAGATCATTGCATTATGTATTACTTCCCCTTGGCAGAGGTTTTCTGCTCACTAGGTTAACTAATTTATCAAAGTGATGTGGCTACATATGAATTCAGTTATGACAATTTCTGTATCATGCTCAGCATTTTGCATCTGTAA